CCAGATGTAAGAAATCAACTTCTTGACCGTTCTCATCTTGGAAATCGTTCTTCTACGACAACAACTTTGGATCAGAATTGCAAGACCATCTGAATGTATTCATATGTTTGGCCCAATAATGACCGACAGCCACACCCTAACAGAACAGTTGACAGAATTTGGAAGGTAAAGAGTTGGTGAATTGGAGAGATATATGCCAGAGACACCATTTCAGGCCCTGCCGATCCGTCGCCCGGGGTCGGAGATATGGAGGCAGGGCAGGACTAAGGTGGAAAGCCTAAGTAAATAAAAAATTGCNGACAACAACTTTGGATCAGAATTGCAAGACCATCTGAATGTATTCATATGTTTGGCCCAATAATGACAGCCACACCCTAACAGAACAGTTGACAGAATTTGGAGGTGAATTGGAGAGATATATGCCAGAGACACCGTTTCAGACCCTGCCGATCCGTCGCCCGGGGTCGGAGATATGGAGGCAGGGCAGGACTAAGGTGGAAAGCCTAAGTAAATAAAAAATTGCCTCCTTCAGCAGGACCAATCCGTCCGTCATGGTACTTGACGCGCAGGGTCCTCGCACATTGGCTTTCAGACTACACTCATTCAAATACTTAGGCTTACAGTAGTATCACTAAGACTCAGGTAATGTAGGGGTTGGAATTTGAGTACTGCCCTTGTTCAATGAATTTCGTTTTGAGTAACCAATCCACATTGGCATCGAAGCACGTTTTCATTCGTAAGCCTCCAAAAACTTCCGAATAAATCCAGTGCGTAATGATTACAGTAAATAATAGGTTTCGGGCTGGTTTGAAGCTCGTTAGATTCGGATATGCTGCCCCTAATAAGTCAAAATAACTGCCTTTGTTGTATGCTCTATGACATAACTTGGAACCAGAGTTACTGAAAAAGCGGAAACTCGATAAGGTGGTAGAGGAGGAGGCGGCATCGGCAGTTGACAGGGTGTCCGAAAAAACCATTGACTGAGTAACGACGGCCGACGAGATGTTTTCAGAGGAAAGTAGCAAGAGGACAAAAAAACCTCATTCAATTACACCGACGGCTGCCTTTTGTAGCTGGTTTCACTCTTCACATTTCCATACTGTAACTGGTTGACTACTAGAAGGTCGTCTTTCTATGAATATCTTCCTTGTTTCTGGTGTTTGATCGACCCTATTTGATGGAACTGATTAATAGGGGCAGTTCTTTCCGAAAGCTGATGCTGCGGCACTTCAACACTTCTGGACCTCCCTGTGAAACGACTCCCTTTCATCTTTACCGACCTGGCCCTAATGCAGTAGAGATAGCTTTCTTCTTGAGCAGTGTATAGGCGTATGCTTGGTGATCGTTAGAACCACGGTCGTCCCGATTCTTGTTTTCTTCACATTGAAGTCTTTGTCAGTCGCTAACCAAATTTGGAAAACAGTCTTTATTGGTTCGTCTTGAACTTGAGGCGTGTAGAAAAACACCCCAGTACTATGCGACGAAATTCGCTCGAACTCATGACGAGGAAACTTCGTCCAGCTAGCATTTCAGCGGTCTATGGGAAGCTGAATGAGGAAGCTTTCTGAATACTAATGTTACTGTCCAACACTTACTATACGAGCACCTTCCCTAGTTCACAGTAGTTCACAGATTTAACTGATTCAGTGCTTTTGTTATCCCATCCCTCTTGGCTGGATACGATAGCCTAGCTTTCGCGTACCTGACTACTTCCCTATATGTAGTTCCAAGATGGCCTGACGGCCTGATGTAGACCCAAATAGTTAAGATTTAGAGGATGCTCCAGAGACTACTAGAACATCTTCTCAAGGCACCACCTGCGAAGCCGTTCTCCTCCCGTTAATTTCCGTCTTGGATATGACGAAGAAATTCAGTCTCTGAAGTCATGATCTGCGTCATCGGGACTGATTTACCATGATATCAGCGTTTCGATCTATTAGCGCTGCTTTCACCCTTCAACTTTCAGTCTATCCCATCATACTTTGCAACATACTGTACTGTACATCATACTCCCACCTTGACTGAAAAATTTATTGCCACCTAATAGTCGGTGGGGCATTTTGGTAAGTGGTAGCATCTAGCGAATCAGAAGTTTTACTTCTCCCTTTCTACTCAGTTTCAAGAAAAAAGATGGTATTAGTTCCATCTCTAGGGACCCTACAATAATTTCATGAAGAGAATTCTTCACTGGGTTGGTCGTGAAACGTGCCTCTAACAGCTAAGTTCAAACGCGTCCAATTCACCGATAATTTAGTGCCACATGTGACTCCTAGACCAAAAAAGGGTCGAGAATAGGCCCGGAAACTTAAAACAGCGGTATTTTCTTACAATTAGTCAGCTCTCAAGATCAGCCTTAGGTGTGCCTTGACACCCTTGGGAAAACATTTTCAATCACCTCGTAGAGGGGGGGGGGGGGGGGGGGGGCATGAGTGGTGCTCGTGTTGGTACTCACGTACAGGTCTTGATTGTCTTACTTGGAGTTCTCACTGGAAGCCTCGAACTGACAGAGATGTTCCTTTGCTGCAAAGTGAACTTGAAGTAGTATGTTTGAAGGGGAATGAAGGTTTCAACAAAGGAAGTATGAAGGTCCAAAAATCATTTCCTTTTCAATCTCACTGACAAAAAGGAAAAGGGTAATGACTGGAAGCAGCACACTACCAATGACCCATAGAGTTCCAAAGAGATTGGTGATTGAATATTTGGTATTCTACTCGGTAATAAACAACTATTAGTCAGCTCAGCTAGAAGCCAAAGGGGCAAGGTGACGATGTTTGCTTACAAAGTGAGCCCTTTTCTGATTTCCTTTCAGAATTCTTTCACTTGAGTCAAAATGTCTATTGACTTAGGAATTAAATTTACTCTTTGCAAAGTACAGAAACATGACATGGGCCGAACGATGTACCTGTCGCTTTTCGCTCAAGAATTCCTTTCAAACAGGTTTCTCACCCTCGTTGAAGTACTTCAGCGATGACGAAAGTATGCGAGACCATTTTCATTACTAAACGTAAATTAAACTTGGGCGATAACTTTACCTTTCTTCTCTCAACTACTCAATCGGAGTAACCCTTCCCTACTACACATTTTCAATTTTTTTTTCAGAAAAAAAGCGGAAATATTCCTCAAGCTATGTATTATAATATTATTAAGTCTATTCCATTTGGAGTGACACTTAGGGGCAGTTCACAGGGTTGGCGTGCAGTTGCAACGCGTACCGATCGACTTATCGCATAGAAATATTTACAAAATAACATTTTAAGTCATTTCATCCCTTCAGAACCTCCCTTGTTCATGGTTCAAATAATAGAACTATGGATGGATAGCTGCGATATCTGACCATGTCAGTCGCACCGCGACCGCACGCGTCGCGTCTCTCGTATTCTGTTCAACACTGTTCTTTGCGTGGGCTAACCGTACTCTGTTATATACTTAGTCAGTTAATAATAGGGTACATATTGGCGCTCCAATGCACAAGGCAAATAGAGACGCAACTCGTTCAGCGGATTGGAGGTTCCCATGAATTTCGCAATTTCCCTTCGTCATTCCTTTACCATGTCACTTAGTTTCCTTTGGCTTGCGTTTTCTTTACGTTCCATCCACTTTCACTTGTTTCCTACTACATAATCTTAATCTATTCGCTCCACTTGGCATCTTAGGTAATCGAATGACCGTTCCCTTCCACGTTCGAAATCTTCCCAGAAGCCTACATAATGAGAAACTTCTTAAAATTAGTTAAGCTTCGGCTAACGTGAAAGACTTTTCTCTTGAGACAGGGAGGATTCATTGGGACTATCACCCGGACCGTCTACGTCTTGCATAGTCAGCGTAGATGGGAAAAGAGGGTCGCACCGGTCTATAGACAGCCTTTTTCCACCACCTTGCTAGTAATGGTCGAACTGTCAATTCCTCAAGTAGAGCTGAACCTTTCACAAGACGGGTTTGGAAGTCCCGTGGGTGATGGGGAATAAGAAGAGGTTACTGTATGATACTTTCACTGGACCTTGGAATCCACCCACGAACCTTTCTAACTCATCTCTCTGGGTTATGGGTAAAACACGAACGTCAGTGTTACAGAATGGGAGAGGTGAACTTATATAAAAGAAAGTTCGAGGATTCAGACTGGGAGCTTATTTTTGAGAATAGCGTAATGTGATCGGAATCCTATTTATTGAATAGGCCTTAATTCCAGAGCGGTCACATGGGATTCCAGGTCAGGGTCAGTCATGGTGATGAGGGATTTCCCCTGCACTTTCTTTCAATACACTCTATCCCTGCTCCACACTTTTTAGATTTTTTTTTGACTTTTCCTCCTTAAAGTGCGTTTCCGCCTTGGTTGACCAAATTGCCCAAACATGGCAGCTTCTCTAATTACCATCTCCAGAAGAAGATCCCTTCACACCAATTTGACTCTGACACATACCTGTATATGTGATACTCGCAAATAAGGCGATAGGCTGATAGCTTGGGACCGCCAGCTGCAGTTTAACTTCAACGATTACGGTCATTTCTAACTCAGAACTTTTTTGCTGGCGCCTCGACAACCCGCGGAAGTAAGAAGAATCTTTGATGCAGTAACGAGCTCATGAGACCAGAAACACCGAAACACCGCCTTCACCGAAGCTTATGGGGTAGAATAGCCTCCATAAGTCATGGATCTCACGCTCCAAACAACCGCCCTAATTCCTTCCTTCCTCTACTTTTCCTCCGCACTTTCTCCTGTTTTTCATAAGTTTGTTCGTTTGAAGTGCAATCGGCCAGCATATGCGCTGCGAGCTTTTTTGCCCCTAAGCCGTGTACAATGGCTGAAGCTGACGGCATTGATTCACTGACGGCTGGTCTGTGGTCGGCTCTGATCTCTCCGCGGCTCGTACCTAATTATTCGTTCCTTTTCCTATCGTTCCTTCCTACTCCCTCCTATTCCATCTGTGTCATACGTGATGTCGTACAATAACAACAGTGACGATGAAGAGGATTCTGTAGAGACGGAGGACGGACAGTCTGATATGGTTGCGATGAAAGTTCGTGACGTGCCGAATCGACTCGTCATCGCACCCGACGAACCATCGGGTAACCTCTTGCATGTCGCTCTTATCAGGGGATTCAGGTAGCACAATCGTCTGTAGGAGAAAAAGGTGTGATCGAGAAATATCAATGATTTAGGTCAGAATAGAGAATCAACAGGTGTAGTTAGAAAGCTGAGGGCGGTGAACATTTCCTTTTTTATGATTTTCATGGCTGGTAAACTATACAAATGATGATTCAGGTATGGATTGCTTCGCTGACGATCGAGATGCACTCAACGATTTTGCCAAATACTACAATAATGCTCATCTTAGCGACGTTAACATCATTGTTGGAGACGATACGTGAGTTTTTCGAAAAAATAAATAAATAAATAGAAATTTTATTCGCGATCATGTAATGGAAAGCCCGACAGAAAATCGCTGACAAGAACCACTCCATATGACTAATCTAAAAACTCGAGAGCGTGTGGCAGTGTCTGCGGTAAGCTTCGAAGAAGCAAGGATTTGATTGATGCTTCGATCATTACTCTCTCAGAAGTAAGCGAATCTGTTCTCTGTGAAGATGAGTGATTGCAGAGAATAGTTCGAGAAAGATGGGTCCTGGTTTGATTCCTTCAGAAACGGTACTTCTGCCCGGCTCAACGTGTTCAATCATCTCCAGCAGTGCAGTAGACCAAGACTAGCCCTAAACTGACCCTCTTCTGGATCCATAGCCCTGCACTTTGCAAGTGTTCACGAAAAGGTTGCGTTTTTCACAGGACAGAGTTTCAAAGACTTTCAAAACGTTGAGGTGCTTTTTCCTTCCCGAAATTGGTTCAAAATTCTTGGTATGTTCTTTGTATCCCATCCTTCTTACTCGGGAGATAACACTGCCTATCATCCAATCTCCAGAACACTATGACTAACTCGTTTTCATCGCCCTCCGACGTTTTTGGAAGCCAGGAAAGTTATTACTGCGGTTGGAGTAAGCGTAATACTCCGATTCAAGGCAAAGTCTGAGACATCGTCCGGTCCGCTTTTACGACTTATTTTGTAAGGTTTGAAGCAACTCTAAAAGTAAGTACGATTCTGGAAAGTGATCGAGGGCGTGGCGTAATGCAAATAAAAAAGGGCCGATCCACACCAGATGCCTGTTCTCACGATTCTTTGACCATTTTTATCTTTTTCTGCGTGAGAAGCTGGATAGAACACATTCAATTCCAAACAGCTTAGATCACGGCGATAACACGATCGTTGTGATTTCCAAATCGCTCGAATGCTTCCTCTGAATAGCTTCACAGAAGCGCTCCCCAATGGGCACAATAATTCACAGATCCTGGATAGACGCTGTCGCTAGGGCTATTGACGCAGTTTGACACTGCATTTAATTATTCAGGAAAATAGGTTCGCGCTGTGCTTCGACAAATTTCACATCAGCCGAAGGTAGAAAAAACATATTTTTGTTGGATATGCCGTACTGGTTATGGGTATGTTATAGTCTATGGGTCCCATATCTTCTGTGACCCTTTACGGTATCTAAATGTCTACTGAGAGGAAAGGTTATAAGTTCAAACCATGCTTTCCACCTAAGTTCACTTGTTGGTTGAAAACCTGATTGCGCAGGGGTACTATGAAGAAACCCTCTTGAGTTCAAGTAGATGACGCACCAGTCATATGCTACAGACTGAATTTTGAATTTGCTTTCTTCTACCATTGGAAATCAACTGTGTTATAGCACTGGCCCATACAGTGTCAGTCTATTTGTACAAAACTTCTGACACATCGCGAGAGGGACGGCAAGTATGACAGAATGAGTAAATAAACGAAAAAATATGTTATAGAACACATGATATGGAGCATTACGTAACTTTTGCTAGATGGAAAAGGGGGCAAAAAAAATTGCAAAATAAATAAACCGATTCATGACTGATACATATTTGATTTCTTAAGGTTCATAAGGCTCTGAGAATCGAAATTTGCCCATGCTCGATGCCAAATTAATTTCGCGTCATTTAGGAAGTCCTAAATACGATACCAGATTAGTGAGGGAAGGCGGAGGAGGTGGAAGAAGTTAAGCGAGAGTGAAAATACATGCATTCCCGACCTATCAATCACTAGGACTTTGAAGTGGGCGTTAAAGAAGTAGAGCGTTCTATGGTGTGACCGGCTGACTTTAACCAAATTCTTCATGTTACGTTATGGAGGGCATTTCCAGTGGATTCAACCAAATTGTAATCGTGGGAATGGTGAAAGTTGAATTGAGACGATCTTCATTTGCTTCTGTCATTATATGGGAGCCCATTGCCTTTTTGAGCCGAATCTCTCCCGCCTTTTGGCCTTCTCTATGTTCCCAGATCATCATCAAGGATACATCAAGCATACTCTTCATGTTCGAAGATTCCAAGTTTTGTTCCATAGGTAATCGATAAGGATCTTTCTACGTAACTGTCTCATGTACTTCTATGTAAAGTACATGAGCAAGTATGCAAACACATCGGCGCAAGGTTAGGGAACTGGTTCTATTTTTTTGGTCCAAGATGACAAGTTGCGATTGAGCACATGAAGTTTCTTCAATGAGTCGGAAATTCTTTACTGAAAAGTCATTCTAAATTCATGTCCTCATGTGATCGTTCGCCGCAAAAAGGCACGGAAATGCAGGGTGCGTGGGAAGATAAATGATAAGGCTACGTTTTTCATTTGAAAGGCAGACCGATGATGATATACGTGATGTCTAAAAAGCATGCCCTTCTCAGGGGAAGTTAGACTGTTAGAATCATTCCTTCTCCGAGATGCTGTTTGAGGTGATGACCGCTCTCTACATTTAACGCAGAAAAAACCTTTTTTGGTCATTTTTATCTGAGGGCAAGCCAGGTGGTGAGGGATCCATCCGGTAGGGATAATCATCGCCCTAACTTCAGCCCGGGTATTGAGCTGTTCTTTCTAGGTTCTAGGAAGAATTCGGGGTCAGGGCCACGACAAACCCAGAAATCATGTTTTGAAACTTATCCACTGAACAATGGTGTCCTTCTGGAATCGCCTTTTTCTTCCTCGAACTACCGAACGCTCGGCCGTGACCTCTACAATGTTGGCCGAACCAAATCCGTAGGATTACAAGAAGACTTTAATTGAGGCACTCAGACCAGCCTCTTCTGCGTTCATAGGACATCATTCAAAGTATTTCTCCGTTATCCCCTCTTCAGCCATCACAGCTAGGCCATCCACCTGAGTGACACTCAAATCATGAGACGAGTGTCGGTTTATTTTATTATCCCACTAGGGGAAGACCTGTATGGGGTACATAATACATAAACTAATGTTCAGAAGAACTACCAGTGGCAGTCTCTCCCCTCCCATCCGCGCTCAGTTTCGTACCGGTTTGATCCACTGTTGCGGAATCCTTTTTTCTATCCTGTTATGGTTGTTTGCGAAGAATTCTCGGAATTGACCCATTTTCTCAGTCAATTTGCCAATTTTCCAAATCTAATTTTCGATATTTCGAAATTTAAGCATTTCATGTTCTTCAGTCATCATGAACTGAAAATTCTGGAAGTCTATCCATTCGTGAAAATAAGCAGCAAATTCTATCAAACTCGGACTGTATTCCTTTCAAATATTGTTTATGTCTACTGTGTTTAGTAAACAATCAATCAAATGTAAATAATGTTCAGTTTTGCCGCTCATCGCCTCATCCTAGCCAAGAATAGCGAGGTATTCGATCGAATGCTTAGTCAACGATGGAATGGCGAAAAGAAGGTGTGGTCATTGAATTTCACCAACATTGGTCTCTTTGAGCTATAATAACACACTCGGCAAAAACGCTCCCGAAGAAATGTTCAAATTGATCTGCTCGGTTTTCCTTAGAAGGAAGTCTAAGGAAGGTTACTGAGCTCAAGAAGGTGTTGACAGCAAGGTTCAGACCAATTACTTCCTCAGTGCTGGTTTCAGTCGTCGGAGCTAATCCTAGCTATTATCAGAATCATCACCTTTCATTAGAACTTTCTGGATGCTCACCAATTCCGGTCCAGAATGGCTTAAAGTCATTCTTGCAGGATGGTCGCCCGATGGGTGTGGCTTCTAAGGGTGTGGCTAAAGACGTAACGGCGCCGACGGGTGTTTTTGTTGCAAAGGTTGTTGAAACGCATTGAAATGATTCGTAGAACGAGCGAGAAAACGGATCGATACCGGTGACTACAAAAATTTCTTCCTCGGAGGGGGGCCGAATACCGACTTACATCTTTTGGTGCTTGAGCTCATGCTGACCAATGCTCAAAGTGGGAACGAATTACCACCTCAAACTATTATAAAAACACAATCTGTAACATAGACCCGTTCAGGATCTCGAGATGGTCGAGGATGCGCCATGCCAGAAAGTATTTCCTGCATTTCTTCGATTTCTCTATTGTAATCATGTGGTACTGCATCAAGACAACTGCCTACCGATTCTCATACTTGCCGACAAGTATAATGTGATCAGCTTGAAAAAGGTAAGTATCTATAGATGGTAGAGTGGATGTGGGAACCAGTTTTTGTCAGTCCCAAATGTATGACCACGCCATAAATGGCTCTCACTCCGCTAAGCTTTTTTTGTAAAAGGGAGGACTATAGCGAAAGATATGCCAGAGAAAAGGGGTGAGAGTGTTTCGCCTGGAACCGACGGCAAAACAAAATATTTAATATGACACAGAGCCTCGTGGACAAATCGCTGCAACTGGTGAGCTTGAGCCTATCTTGGAATCCCAATCCCTCCTATTCATTGCTCTAACCTCCAAGGTCAGGGTCAGTTTGACAACGTGTCTTCAAAAGCTCGAGAACGGCTAGTCTCTAGCTCCCTTTGTGATTCTTTTCACTTCTCTACCCCATCGAGTGCCTTCTTTTACATTATTCGGAGGAAAACCCGTCCAATGCAACTATGCGGAACTTCCACGGAAACTCCGTCATGGCTCCTTTATCAATGTGTTAGGCTGCTTTTATAGCCCACCGGCCGGAGGCGGCGCTTGTTCCTTGTTTACAATTATTAAATCTTGACCGATACAGCAAGCCGAGTATCGCTCGCTCGCTCGCGGGCTGTCCGGCGGACTTTGAAAGCACCCTTACAAGGATTCTTCGCCTATGATAGTCAAAGCAATACATGGGGGGAGAATGTTTTGTGATTTCTTCAATTAGTCTCTTCTGTTCGTAGCCATTCGTAGACGGTTCTGTTTGGCGGGAACTGGCCTTTCTCTGGAGGTCCAAGCACAACAGTGAGTCTATACAAATTATCCAAATTCCACCTCCCTCGTTGTTCCCGTTCTGCTCCTACTACATGAAATCGGGAGGAAGTTAGTGAACGCCCAGACTTGCGGAATCAGGTCACTTAGTTGCCTGAGAAAGAAGACCATAAATATCCTTGAAGAACTCTTCCCCACCAACCTCCTGTTCAGCTGTAAACTCAAAAATTCAATTCGGACCAAATTAATCAAATCAAATTCGTTCCAATGTCACTTCCGAGCAATTTGTTCATTCCTCCGCCAGTTACATACGTGAGAAACTCCTCGTTGCAAGTGAAACTGAGACTGCATTATGTTGAATGTGTCTCAGAGAGGACTTTTTCCGAGTCATATGGTCATGCGTGCGTGTAATGTGAGCTGCATCTGGGGAGCATCAAAGGGCAAACTTCCGGGACTGGCTGGGGCACAGCACGGAGAATTCACCGAAGTACAACCCTTTTTTCATTTTTTTAGATTTCCTATTTCTCCTCGAATTCTCCTTTGGAGGAAATCTTGCAGAACCAATCTAAGGAAGCCGTTCTCCCTGCAATGGCAGGAGATGCTTTGGTCCATTCTCATGCAGAATTATTGGAAGAGTGGCCTATAACCCAAAATCTTGGAAGAGTCTTCATTAGGTATCTAGGGCCGAAAGTGATTGATGCCCACAGAAGGCTTACGATACCTCGAGGGTTAATCGGGTTGCTCCAGACTTTTCATTCTCCAATACTACTTTCATCTCCTTGAAATGTTACACAGCATTCCATAGAAGACCTTTGTTTAGGCCGTACACTGGGAGCGCAGGGTTGTAAACGAATAGGTAAAAACCCTTGTTTGCAAGTGGATGAACCGCTCGGAGACTTGTGCCGAAATCATGACAAGGTGAACTTGAGACCAGTCATCACGTTGAACCCGCAAAACCTAAAAACCCCATGTCGATAGGGTTTTTTCGAATGTCATCGATCAAATTCGGTGACAACTTGCCATCTTGACGAACGAAAAAGATAATGACAAAAAAAGTTCTTCCAATGATCAGTGTCCAATTTCAAGAAAGCTCTCAAGTGCATTTCGAATTAAAGCATCCAAGAAGAAGGTCTCAATGTCGGTCATTTTCATTCAGAGATACGCCAATGACCCTTTTTCCATTTAGGACCATAGCGGATCGTTCGAACTTCTAATATTGCAAACACCATTGAGGTTTAGACAACGTAAGATCCTTCCCCACAAAATCGCACTAAAAACGGAGTCAGGAGTTGTGGAGAGCTGTAGAGAGAGATCAGACCAGATTTCGATCGATCACCTCAATATCTTTGTCCCGGCACCCCCACTTGTCGCATCCACCTGCATCATGCTGCATCACCAAAAGACGACACATCAAAATATTCAGCTCCTTTTCAGGTCTGTATCGATTTTGCCATAGCTGAGATCCTTCCAAATCTTACGTTGAAGGATGTGTTCAGCATATGGTTCTCGTATGCAACCAAGGCCTACCACCAAGTAAGTTCAGTTCATTCTTATAGGTCATTTCCTAATATTCATATCTGTTCTAACACCGCCATTTTTAATTCCGTCCTGCCTCCATTTTCTTAAAAAAAAAACTGTAGTCGTTCATTAAAACGCATCCTGTCAGGGAGACATAACTGAAGTTCATTTCGGGCAACACGGATAGGAACGCTTAGCCTACTCAACGAGCACTGTAATGATATATTTATTGCTCTTCGTGAATACTGACTCCATTTAATCCGGGAAATTCCCGCTTCTATACTTATATTATTGTTATTATTTATATGCTATTTATATTATAATTTATAGTTTAATTTTCTGTCATTAGATTTGCGTCTAGAGGGCTTTTGCTTTGTTAGAAGCTTCAGTGTCACTAGAGAATAAAAAAATTCGGCAAACAAGTCCCTTCAACAGACAAACTTCCCTCAAGAGAAAGCTCCTCTTAAACTTGCAATCAGTAGCCCACTTCAAAGATACTGCAAGTGCTTTTCATATAATTTTGGTGACCACACAGGGAAGATGTCCCAAAAGGTGTATGACCAGAATGCGTTTTGGTGAGACCTCGTCGAAACACCCAGACTAGACAGAATTCGTGTTCCAAAATTCTCGTTTTTTCTATTATTGAGCCTGATGGAAACGAGTTCTACCTACCACAAGAGCCGTTTCCGAAAACTTTCCAATTATCCAGCACATGCATCCGTTATAGAAATGGGAGCAACTGGAATTTATGAGAAAATTAACCCCTTCACCTCTATTCGACAGTTTTGAGCTTTTCAAAGAATAGCCCGAATTGCATATACGACTGATTCTGGATGTCCAGCTTTGCAGGTACTGATCCGTGCATGTATCCAAGCAATTGCACGAGATTTTGAATTGCTGATCACCGATGAATGGGAGAAGAGTTGGTTGGCACTCGATAGGGACCAGATGATTGAAATACTCAAATGCAATCAACTAGTTGTCGCAAGTCAGTTTACCTCATCTCTTGGGTCCTTGTCTTTTGACGGTGGGACGTTTAGAAAGGAACGCCATCGCCTTATATGTACTTCATAGTGCTGATCTTTTTGAAATTCGTTCATAAATAGTTTCTCCAAATTTTTGCTTACAGATGAATATCGTCTATGGGAAGCGGTGATCCGATGGCTGCAAGCACCGAATCACCCGGAACGACGAGGTACCACTGCCAGCCCACTACTTTCGTCACTACTGCCGTATATTCGGTAGGTGTTACTCTTTTGGCTTCTGGGTGTTACTGACGCTCGCAGTAATGGATGCTCAACAAAACTTACGGAATGGTAGATAGTTCTAAAGTTGGTTCTGCTAAAATGCATTTAGGTTTCGAGTGACTGGAAGCGTACTTACCAGTACTTCACTCATCAGACAGAATCTACTAGTATTTATGGGGAATGAGATCTTTCTCTTAGTTTAAGACGATCACGCCAATCCTGCCGATGGCTCGACTCCCGTTATGATAGAAATAAACGGAACAATCGGAAATGCGTACCTGGAACTTTTTCGGGCTCCTCTGATGTATGTGCCTGGTTGAGTAGTATATATAGCGAGCACAGTTGTACAGAGAATTGGGCCTATCCCACAAATCAAGGGATACAATGAAAGCTTCCCGCACTCACCATTCCCTGGAAATGGGACACTTTTCACGGAGGAGATCCGTTCAATGACGAAGCCCCTCTTATGCCACACCAGCATATGAAGAATCTCAATGTTTACGGGGCGAAAGCCTTCATATTACTCACTTGTTTTTTCCACAGGAATAAGTATGAAAACGTTAAATATAATTGATGGTTGAGATGAACCGAAAGAGGGATCAGCCCTGTGCAGGTGCTCGTAGGCAACGCTGAAAAATGTGTACTGAAAAAAGAGTAAAATAAGTTTCCCAAAGTTTTGATGACTTACAGATAAAGCATGACGATAGAACTAGATAAAGAAAAGATGATGACTTAGCCGTTTGCAGAAAGACCAAAATTTTCTAGGCATGCTAAGCCGATCAATGGATGGTTCAGTTAGAGTTGGACAAATCGAAAGAAGATGTTAAATCATTCACCTTTACCCTTTCCTCTCTTTTTTTTGGCTTTGCTTTTCTGGGTTCTGCAGTGCCATTTCCATCGAGTTCAGCTGGCTACTCTCATCTGGCAGCCGGCTTCTACCCATTTTTCAGCTCTTTTTGGCCACCAATCTATGCGCGAGCACCGTTTATAGATACATTGCCCACTACAGATTCTGCAAGCTTCTTTCGATTTGGTCAAGCCTTCAGCTGCCTTGGAACACACCTAGTGGTTCCCAGAAGTCCTCAGTTCGGTACATAGCTCATTTTAACTTTGGCTCCGCCTACATTATCAAATCCCGTGACACGTCAAACAGAGTGGCTTCCAGGATTATAAGCTCTGCCGAATAATATCGCAAGGTTATGTGGAAGGTTTCGCAATATTTTCCCTTGAAGTACCTTGTGATTTTTCAGATTTCCATTCATGACTGCCGATGAATTGACTCATGTGGAACGTTCTCAGTTTGCCGAATGCTATCCGAAACTGTTTCATCCGCAGATATTGCTAGCCTACAAGTTCCAAGCTCTTCCTCTTTCTAGTCGCGTCAATTGCAAGTAAGCTATGTGCATTACTATCTAGAACATTGGAAAATTTCGAAGTAATAGAATCATGACAGCTTGAATTTAAAAGAGAAAAATCTACATAAATTAATGAGCAGATTCTGTGTAATAAGTTCCCTTCCTCTGAAACGAGCATGAAAAATATCTTCATAAATATTCGCCCCTTCTTGCAATTCCAGAGAGATTCTTAGTCTCAAATGACTGTCAAACTGACATACCTAGAATAGGTGATGAGGTGATGAGAGATTTTCATTGAAGATGTGGAGAAGAAGGGTCTGTAGCTTCATCGGAGGAGGTAGTATACGGTCAAGAAGATGTCGGTAGGACATTTTAGAGCAGTTAGATCCTAGCTAACCACATCAGCTCTGCTTTGGAAGCGAATCAAAAAGGCATCTGAACAGGGCAAGAAAGATGCTGTTCTTCAGAAGTCGACTCGTAGTTGTTTTTTGAATACCGCCGAGCAGGCTAACCGGAGAAGCTGAGAGTACAGATCCAATTCTCTAGCTTCTCTTATTCACACTCGACTTGCCCTCATTCACAAAGTGTGACCCCGAGTTCATTTATGCACGAGAAACGTATGCCACTCGGGAAGGACATGACTATTTATAAAGATTTGGTCGTTCCAGGGAATTCTCTACGACTCAATTCTTACTGCGGAATTATACGGATACACGATGGGATAAACGGATATCGATCTCCAACGAACAGCTCTACCAAAGAGGCGTCGATCATTCGTTCCAGGTGCGATACGTACAGCCATTTGCTACTAGAAAACTCCAAGCGTCATTGCCAATGAATCAAGAACCTCATCCCTTCGCTTTTAACATCTGACTTTTGTCCCGGCACGAGAAAAGCTAGTTGAAATTAAATCTAGAAGATACTAAAATCGTTGACTTCATGGGACAGGCATGAGGTAGCGCTAACTTCTCGATATGCTTCAGATTCGTACACGTTCCTGCACATTCCCCCTACAAACTTGGCAATGGACTCTGAAACTAGGCGGATCCTCCTATTCGAATTCTGTCGATGATGTGCTCAAAGCCTATCTTATCTCAGAAGATATCGATCAACCCAGGTATTGAGTTAGTATGGTTGTTAGGGCGGACACAAGTAGCAGGTCGGCGAGGTAGTGTGTGGCAACGCACACGCCGCTGCACGCTTCGCTCGACTGTGGGACGTTTGTAGAAGCCCGATTTCGTTTGGAACGAGACATTACTCGTTAACCATAATCCTCTGAAGACAAGCCTGTCAAACTTTCGGTCATGGTCCTTCATTTTCTGATTCATGCCTTTACTACGACTCTTAGCAGGTCGATCGAATACATGCTGTCAATTGTGGATGAGAAGAGAGTACTACGATCATTCTCCAGCAAGAAGAACTTCACAAAAACGAGGTTTGAAGTCTTATTAATTACAAATATAAGCCAGAAGATCGAGGATGCGGAAAGCGCGATTCGGTGTGATCCTTCGATCAAGTCCTACCCTTGCCAGCAGAGCTACTACCTTTTCTGTGGTGCAAAAACATCGTGCTTGAGAAGTCTATAAAAAAATCGGGGCCGTACTTTGACTATTCAGTGAGCTTCGCCAAAATACTGAAAAAATTTTGCTCTCACTTGGAGTTCGAAATCTTTCTCAAATCTAAGTAGGGAGCAGAATGCGTGGCGTACCCCATGCGGCATACCCCAGACCGCTGATCGCTGATATTTCAGGTACTCGAGCGAGCTGGACATCGATCGAAAAGTGGAAATCAATGATTTGCTCACAGAAGATTCTCCACTTTTGGTTAATGGCGAATTACATCTACAACTAACGTTACGTCCTATTGATTGATTGATCATAATGATAGATTTATTGATTGGCTAAAATATTGTATGCACCGATCTACAAAATTCACACCTCATCACTTCTATTCATTCAAATCAATTAGTTCATCCAATGATTATGGCAATGCTAGTGATTATCGCTGATGATTTTCTTTCTGTGCTCTTAATGATTTACAGTTTTTTTGTCAATACGGTAGTATTTATTAATGTATTATATGTGCAAATCCTAGAAGATTCCCGTGGTATTCGCATTCGATTCCGGTGTTGTATAGATTGGTACGACTTCATCAGAAGTCCTCCACTTATTGATTCTGCATCAAAATCAATCTCCTATGTATTGATACTGATTAAATGATTAATATTATATCTGATCTGGTTACCCACACTCATACCTACCCACACGAAAGGTTCACCAATCGGCAGCTCTCAGGCAGCTGGCCTGGGAAAAGCGTTCCAAAGGCTGCTTCATCTAATGAGTCGACTTCCTTCATCATCTGAAGCACCTTTCAAGAACTTTTCCTCTTATCTCGTTTTTATCTTTGAAGCTAGCTGCTATTTGGAATTAAGTTCTAGCTCCACCGTAGTGGATCCCAGAACCGGCAGTCAGGTTGAAGTGCTTTGATGGAGGTGCCTTTCTTCATTGGGAACAATATGCCCTATCCTGTACGAACACGCCATGACGAGGGGGATCTGCTGTTTTAGAAGCAGAAGGTCTATTCGAGTCCGGAGTTCGCAGCTGCCCAGGAAACAGCAGTTTCCCGAGAGATTAAGGTATTCCAGAAGCTAACGCTCAAACAGCTGTTCTGGAAAAAGAGGCCAACATAGCTGAAGGGGCATTCAAGGAGTCAAACAGATCCCAACCCTAGGGAGAGAAGGAGCCGAATGTTGTCTCGAATCGCAGTTTAAATAGGAAGAGGACCTCGATGTTCAGGAGGAAAAGAGCCTTTGGCGGAGCTCTCATTCACCACATTGTCTCAGTGTTTAGGGTTCCTGGGACATTGCCGTGGAGCCATCCATCCCTCTAATCCAGTGAGCTCATGAATAAGAGTTTTCTCAAAACATCAGTCAGTAACGTGGGAAATCAGAGTGGCCATTTTCAATAGTCCACCTTTCTCTACAACCTTCAAATTCTCGAAATTTTTCCAAAAGATTCAGTTTCCCATGAACGTTCCTTGCTGACACCATAATGGTAGCGACGCTATAACCCAACCCAAGAGGCTATAGGGGGCAAAAAGCGGGCTGTTCGCCCCCATTGGCAGCGCTCATGAATCAGTTTTTGCAAGTTACTAGTGTTTTGCTAGGTAATTTGTAGCAGCTCTGCTCCATTCGACCGGGCAGCCTCACGGGGAGGGCCACGGGAGGAGCGGCAATGTCTAAAGTTCAGCGAGAATGAAACGCGATCAATCTAGACTCGAAAGCAAGCGCCGCCAGCACACAGTTCCCAAGCGCGCCCTATATATACGCCCCAGCAAATGCGGCGTATCATTTGCGGGTTTACTACCAAGGCATAACGTATTCGATTTCAAACGAACGCATGAGAACTTGTTTCCAGATAAAATCATCTGAAACGCTTTATAGTGACGTGTTGAGCTACCGTTTTCTTGGTCTAGTCCTTCATATACAGTATCCCTCACTGTAGCTCCTGGATATACGGTATAGTTACGGTTTTCAAGCAAAAGATTACTGTTCTGGACCCATTTAATCCCTATCTGTAAGAATAATGTACTGATAGACACAAAATACAGAAGTAAAACGTCGAGTTTATGTACTAGTGCACGCCATGCTATCGACTCCTCGTCAAGTTCGCAGCGGCAAGTGAAGGGTCAATCGCTCGAGTTGCTCAGGTCCGCCAAAATGCCAGTCAGCGTTTTTAATCTCTCAGACTAATATGGTACCAATTAATCGATCCCAAACATCTGGAAGACATAGTCGGATCTGATCCAGAATTCGATCCATAGACAAACATGTGGTAGCTACGCCATTTGGCGCTGCAGCTCTTTTTCCTTGAAGAAGAAGACAAAACAATGACTGCGTACCTTATTACTCAATGGAAAAGAAGAAAAAACAGAAATGCATTGGAGAGAAGCGCCAAGAAAGCGGATCAAATCCACATTGAGATAGGCCAGCATACGAAATCTGCTTGAGGTCTTGATTATTTCCGAGAAAGCTTTCTTTACAGTTAATCATGGTACAGAGCAAAGCGTAACACAATGCTCCACTATTTTGGAGGAGTCGAGTATTATCAAGCGATGAATGAATGGGTTCATTGACCTTAAGCGAGATCTTATCTTGAACTTGGGTAAAGGACTAGGATTGTGGAGAAGAGTCACTTGTCGAAAGGCAAATACGGACTGCACATAGGGACATTCAAAGATTACCAAGTCATAGTTTAAGAGCAATACCCTGAAAACTAGGATATCCTACAATTTTAAATGCTGCCAAGGTGTGCACATTAAAACTTGATCAAAGTTTATTTGATTTGCACTAAATTTTTCGAGTAACATGCTTATGTTAGGAACGTCACGAGAATCGTGGCCAAATCTGCGCCCGCTTAATTCTCCCCGCTCCCATCCCTCTCCCTGCTCGTGCTACACAAAGCGGACTTCATGGACTTCTTTACTCCGATTGTTTACGAACCACCCGAGATGTTTATCACACACACCCTCATTACACTCAAGTGCATTCTTCTTGAAAAATTAGATCCCGAACAATTTCTGTTCAGCAGCCGCAAGCTATCCTTCTAATACGCGACAAAAGTTCGGAGAGAATTTCTTGAACAATTATGACTCTATTAAAAAGTAACCATTTCTAAATGTCATACGATCAAGTGAGAACACTGAGCGTGATGATACCTTGAACTGGTTTTTTATAGTGTAATCCCTTCACATACATGCACGTGCAATCACATTAACCATCACTCAATTAGCTTTTTTTNTTTTTTTGCATTTTTTTAGATGACCTCGTTCTTCTAGCCTGATCAACTTCATGTTTATTTCATTTTCGGTACCATTACTATTTATTTTTCATTTATTAATAGGTCTCTTAAGCTTTCTTTTGTTTTTGTTACCTTTTTGCCAATGAACTCATGAATCCCTGGAGGTCATCTCTATGAACATGAAGATTTTTAGAAACTTACGGATGATGTTCCCTCCAAAATGGACAATTTTCTTGGGTGTTCTACAAGTAACCCAATCATTCTCACTAATCGATCGAATATGTAAGACCAATCGTTCTTTCGATAGGTGCGCTTCCAGGATACGCAAAGAAGAAAACCATAACGGTAGGTTTTTATCAGCCTCTACGGGCTTCTACCACGTATCACGAATGAGCGATCTTTGGGTTTCTCTGTCTTCCCTACAAGGTTGAGTCAAGCATCAAAATGAGGGTGATCTTACATAATCATAGAGGCCGAAGAGGCCCTTCCTCAACCCCTCTCCTTCTCCAACAATCCCTTCACTCTTCACCCAGTTTTCACCTCCATTTTTTAAAAAAACGAAATGGTTTACAGATCAGAGCTGTTCATTTCAAAATTGAGCATGATTTTCTTTCAGAAACCCAATCCACATGGATTCGCGCTGACCAGCTATCGGATGAAGACCAGAAATTCTTACGGTTAGCTCGACAAAGTGGGGACGATCCCGTAAGTAAGGGCTTGGCTCGCTTTTATCTAATCAATTTCACTCTCTTTCGGTATGCTTTCTTCCTAAAATATACAGATAATAAAAAAAACATCCATTTTTAATTAATGTGCCACCACTATATTTATTTATTTCATTTTTATGATTTCATAATGTTATGGTTAATGTTTCAGTCGTGCAAAAAGCTGAAAACTGAGTACGATCAAGTCTGCTTCACTCCACCACCGCCACAAGCTTTTGAGGAGACAAAAGTGAATGGCATTCTTTTCTGATTTCATTGAATTATAAAAATTCAGATTCTGTAAGCATACTCTGAAAAGTTGAATGTCTACATTAATTTCCAGGAGTTTTGCTCTGCCTTTGTGGAAACGTGCCCTGAAACCCTCAAAACGAACCTATTCACCCATATAACGTGAGTACTGCTTTTTAAACCAGCGCTTGTACATGGCGCGAACCCTTGATGACCTACTACTGTTACAAATCCCCGATTGGAAGGAATCTTTACTAAATAAGCTTCACTTTCTAAATTCTCACTGTGGCAGAACTAAGACGGAGTATTGAAAAAAGTACCGTATCATTCTTGGTATTACTTGAATTCACTCCAATCACTAATCATTGCCTCTGCAATTTCCGGAGAGGAGCGTATACCTGGCGGCCCAGGCCAGAAAGGATCGCCCACTCTGAGTTCCTTTTCATTTTATCCACTTCATTAATGAGCTCAAAACATTTCAGCGAACTTCATATCGACTACTCAGCATACTGCAAAAAATCGAGGGAGCGTTTTCGGTACGTCTGCNAGAACTAAGACGGAGTATTGAAAAAAGTACCGTATCATTCTTGGTATTACTTGAATTCACTCCAATCACTAATCATCGCCTCTGCAATTTCTGGAGAGGAGCGTATACCTGGCGGCCCAGGTCAGAAAGGACCGCCCACTCTGAGTTCCTTTTCATTTTATCCTCTTCATTAATGAGCTCAAAGCATTTCAGCGAACTTCACATCGACTACTCAGCATACTGCAAAAAATCGAGGGAGCGTTTTCGGTACGTCTGCCCGAAGCCGTTCAGATTCAAAACCTATGCAGAACAGGTAATAAACTGAGCATGGGCTAAATAATTTTCGAAAAGGCATTGAAGTGATTTTCATAACAGTTAGAGCTATTAATTACTGATTTACTGAAAAAATACGGAGTGAGATCGAATCTCCATAGCCTGGATAGTATTGTAGTTCCTTTCATTTTCGGAAATTTGGGCCCCCTTTATACTCTTGTAATAACCCAGCAGCCTGAACCTTATGAGTACGTCAACTGCACCACCTCGGAAGACAGTGAACCAGGAAAACTGGTACTGTGGGTAGCATTACTATCGTCTACATTCATCTTCATCTACCAACAGGACTCATCGCTTTCATAATACCAGATCATTTTCTCTGACATAAAACTTTCAGAATAACTTTTTAGGCTGTAGATTTCTGTATTCGATACAAAGACCGATGCCCGGATGAGAAATTGCCTGATGAGCCAGTGCCATTCAAGAAAGAGGTATGTCCAGTTTATATGGACTAGAGCTAGCCTATTTTCATTGGATCCCTCAATCACTCCGAATTTTAGCTAGTGAATTCTTAACTCACTAGCTTGTAGATAGGCCAACTTTAGAAAAGTTGTGCGATGAAAATAATAACTAGGAATTTTAGGCAATTTTTGCACCATGGGCGGGGGTGGTGTAGTGGCAAGTTTCACACTATATCACACGCACGGTCAGGGGTTCGAATCAAGGAACGGTGCCTGCTTAGGCCAACCACGCCTTCCATCCATCCGGGGTCGGTAAAGTGGTGCCAAACTCGTCTGGGAGGATAAAAACTCTGACTCGTACGTCGGCTGGCCACCGCAAGTCATTGTATAGCCCACATACGCACTAATTACGCCACTACGATTCTGAATGGAAGTCGATTGCGATGGCGAATCCCTCAGCAGGGATTGTTTAACGCCAAAAACTTTATCCTTATCCTTACCCTTTTTGCATCATAAGCAATGTAATCTATGAGTGTCGACTTTCGTGAGTTGAAGTCGATTGACTGGTTTGTCAGAAAGTAACAGTTTTCAATTTCAGGACGAGACCCACATCTACATTCGGGAGATTCAATCCGCATGCAAAAATATGTATCGTGGAGCTAGAACGTACTGTTTTCATCCGGAACTGCTCAAATACCCAAAATACGCTATCCCGTGTTATTTCTACAAGATGCAATGTATTGATGTCTATACTAAAGTTATATATGGATGAACCTATTGATGGATTATCATAGATAACTGTTCTTGAAGTTGCACTTCACCTCATACGATTCGGTTCACAAATGTGGGCTGCAGCGTTAGGTTTATAAGAACTAATGTCAAACCTATTCTCCAAAGCTGGGCCTGAGCGTGCCAAATTGTCGATTACTACCTTTCCCCGGACTGTGAGCTCTTACGTTCTCATATGCCATTCGCTTTTGAAAGAAGACCTATAGTAACGGCGAGCTTTTCAATTCAAACCTTATATCGTACCTCTAGGTGTTATGAATGCACTGGCAGCACTGCGATTCTATGATTCCAGAGTACCCTTGATTGGCCAAGTAAACAAGTGCTCTTCCTTGCAGACGAGACCGCGGACGAGACCTACATATTTCAGATACACCCCCGAGCCCTCAGTGCCCTGGCAATCTTTAAATGACAGGGAATGATTTTTATCTCAAATACAGTCTTCATGACCTCAGATAACCTGATGCCCTTGCCATAAAAGTTACTTCTAGGGGCAAATTATTTTTTATGAGATATCAGAACATATCGAAGGTTTAAGAGCAGTGATTGAGATACATGCTAGAGTGGGGTCGCCCTCCACCACCTTCTGGTGACAAAGGTATGGCGCAGAAGTGCCAGGAAAAAGCTTCGTATCTAGAGCGCCATACTCCATTGACCCCTTTTTGCTTAATATTTCTTCCGCCAGAGAAGCAACTGAGACCGAAGCTTCTCAGAAGCTCAACCTCAATCATTCCCCCTGCGGAAAAAGCCGATTGTCAATTCCTACGTACCAATTTCTTATAAACTCTCCAAAATGATCCCCCTTTGCTTTTCGTATTTTCACGCCATTCTTCATTTTTTTTTCTTAGCTTTTCTACTTGTAGTGTACAAATAATTCAGGTGAATGAATAAATATTCAGATAAGTAGAACGCAAGTTGACGCCGTAAAACAAATTTGCGACAAATTAGGAGGTACGGCGCGGCGATTTTCCATTAAAAAAACATAATTAACATATAGTCGCATACTATACATATAAATAAGGTAGCAGCCAACCAAAAAATGGATGCGTGACCTCAGGCCGTGCGTAGACATATTTGCTTATTTGGTTATGCGCCGATTGTATAGTCTCCACTTCCGCTTGACCCAGAATTCCCCAAGAATTTCGTTCCCCAGACAGAAATAGACGTGGAAAACAACCCTCCACGTAGTGCAGGAGACTATGTAATGAGTTTCAGAACCCCTTTCAAATAAACACATACCGACAAAACCGGTTGAATGATTACGCCCGTCGACAGTTTGATGTGCGGGAGTATCCGTTGATGGAATTCTGATTTAACTGTCTAGCCAAATTGTATGTCGTGGGTGGCCCGTTTGACTGCCATTCTCTCGGTCGACAGCTGCTTACTGAAAAGATTAATCTGATCACTCAAAAATATCATTATAAAAGACAAGAGAAATTACACGAGAAACCTGACTTTTGTGTGTAGAGTGCTAATCAAGAATTTTGGCGTCTCGACAATTTAATGCACCAAAAGTGGCTGGCAAGCAGACATAAATCTTCTTCTCAAGGAACTTGAGGTAAAAATGGTAGATACCGACGGTCAAGAAGATTTCTCTCCTAGACTTTCAAAATAAATCGCGCATAAGCTTGCAGTTGGCTTCCGCGTGTGGGAGGCAAGCCCTGACCGATTGAATTCTCAGACGATCGTGGCGCATCTTTCAGACAGCGGAACCTTTTTTTTTCCTAAGAGTTCTACTCGGATACATGTGATCAGCAGTTTAACAAAAAGAATTTTTCACGTGGGTTTCAATAGTCGCCGAACAAATGCAGAAGGTCGCCCACATTACACCCACGCACCCCGTATGTACATAGTAGAAAAACGCAGCCTGCCCTGAATGGCTGTTATTTCGTTACTGACCATGTTGAGAGAAAAACTGTCTCTACTCATCAATTCAGTTCATTTCACACGGCTTGTAGAAGCTCTGAACCTCTCTCCTCTCTCATTTCATGACAAAAAAGTATGAAAGGTATTCGAGACTGCCAATTTTCAGTTGTACTTCTGCTTCTTCTTAAACAAAGATTTATTCTTATCCTTTTTTGTCCCCCTATGTACCTTATATGTATTCAAATTCAAGATTTCGAAAGCATCACCACCAAATTCTCATCCTCTTTCTGAACTAAAAAAAAANAAAAAAAAACTAAAGAATTTAATTAGGTATACATTAGTCGGAGGTAAAAGAACAAAAGTTAAAGCAGAAGTAAGCAAAGTCGGCTTGAATGGTAATGACACTTGTTCTGACTTTGCGATCTCCTCCTATCATTTCTTCTACTTGATTACTGCATATAATCGGTCCTTTCAATGATCATCTTTGAAAACCCATTCTTGATCAACAATCATGGCTTATATACCATCAGGTAAAATATCAATGAACCCAGTTTTACGGCTATGCTGGACGTTCTTTCTTTATGGAATAGCCGCCGATAGCATTACACCACCTGTTCCCATACCAATCGGCAGGTGATTATTTCCTAATCATTATCTTATTCTGTTATTAATCTGATTGAAGTTCATCGGAGGAGCTTCAAATCCTATTAAAAATTAACTTATATACTAGGTCGATGCCTTTGAAGACAAACGGTCGGGGTAATGAGGGCTTCGAGAATTTTCAAGTCCAAGGTTAAATCGCCTCCGTTAATTCACAATATTCCCAGTCTTTTAAGGGACACCGTCGATGAACGTGCTGTACGACGACGAATACCTCATCGACGGCACAGGTAGTTCATTCTATAGTTCATTAACGAATTTGGCCTTTATCACACTTACTTGGTCACCATATCTTGCAGTAAGAGCAAAGTTAACCAGGGCCCACAAAAGCTGCGCCCTAGTGAAGTTTCCAGCACCAACCGTAGGTTGAGAAGTGCTCTCTTCATGGTTTTCGTTTCCTCAGCCCAATTTAGCTAATCGCCAAGTAGAAATCGCTGTAAGCCTGTTGTGGGTGATTCACGAACAGAACCTGGGATATCTGGCATGACTAGCCTCGGTTGCTTAACTGTTCCCATTTTTCTTTTGCAGGTAATTGAGCTTTTTTCAAAAACAGTTTCGTATTTTGATTTAATTGATCTTGAGATAAAACTATCGTAAAAAGGGGAAGCAGGGGAATGCATACCTGTGATTAATCAGGCGGACGAAGCTCTCGTGGTTCAGAAACCCAGTGTACATATGACTGTTTACTGTTATAGCAGTAGCTGTTCATAGGGACGATGGCTCGATCCTAAAAGGATTTGATGCAGACCAAGGAGAGCAAATACAGCATAACGAAATAAAGCTTTCCAGTCTTTATCAATGCCAGCAACATACGTAATCCTCATTTTGAGTAGATTTTAATCCAATGAAACCCACCTTACACCCTACCCATTTCCAAAATGAACAATATTTCGGGGACTTTGCGATTGTAAATTTACATGCATTTTGAGAAGGTATGAGGTACTGAGATCATGAAAAGGAACTTTCCGATAGACCCCCCATGGAAGGGAGGCAACAACGCGATTCTCATTGTCTTTGAGATATTATTGGATTAAAGGCACAGTTCACGATAATTTTGTAGCATCCCTTTTTAGACGAAAAGCGAAACTTTAGGTTGGGAATAGTTCATCGGTAGAAAAGAAAACTTAAGAATTCGCCGATTTTGAGAAAAATAAGGCTCCTCAAAAGTAGGGAAAATAGAGGTTGGACGAGATTACCATGAACCATGGAAATAACATGGAAGGGGTATTCGAACGAGATTTCGGTAGTTACAATTGCGCGAAGAGCTGACTACGTCAAGCCAGAACTGTACAAAACTGCCTTTCACTGTCGCACGACAAGTGGTTTGAACTTCCTAAGCTGGTTTCTTTGTGATCTGTGCAGCCTCAACAGTGCCGGTGAAACTCGTCAAAGGGTACACACAAGCCAATCTCTGAGCCATCGCAACGCCCTATCTAGACCGTTTTCCGACATGATAGCGCCAGATATGTTATAAGAGGGGGCCTCAAATACATCCTATGGGGAACACTTAGAAACCATTTTTATCAAGACCTGTGCTTTTAAAGACCAATCAAATACCAACTATTGCAGGGAGAACATCAAGCCTTTTCTTAAATGAATATGACGCTTGCTTATATGAAACCGACTATAGATATTTATTTCCCAACTAGTTCAGTTGAGCGGTGTATTTGAAAACGCTCACAAAAGTGGATTTAAGGAGGCTTTAGGAGGGAACGTCCAGACAATTTCTTACTTACCTCAGATCATTAACCAATTCTAATAAACTAACGATTCTCTTAAGGCACGAAATGTCACCATTAGAACAACAACAGCTGCGTGAATTCGAGGAGTATGAACAAAGGCGAGCTGAATATGTCAAAAAAGTGACCGAGGCACAGGATCAGTACTATGGACATTACTTCGAACAAATGAGGCAGTACGCAGCACAGGTTCAACTAAGAAGGTGCGTTCACTACTATTTCACTATATCTCGGGAACGGCATCCGATCGGGACAGCCATTGATTGAAAAGGTCTCACATCAGCGATGTTTTTTGGGAGAAAAAAAAAGAGCAGACTCAATGGTGTCAAATACTCTGCTGTAGAGCGTTGAGAATGAGAAGATGAAGCTATAAGACTTCAGCTGACTCCCACCGGAGGATGCCTGCAAACTAGAAAATCGAATATGCAAGGGGTGAAATCGAGAAAGCATAATCTTGGTAGGTGTTTAGGTACCAAGACTTGTTGGAGCGACAGCGAGTGGAAAGAGAAAGAATAGCACAAACGATGGGGGAATTTGGTGTGCCTGTACCCGATCTACCATCTACGGGTATGCCGTCTCAGAGCAAACGTGAGGATGAAAGACCTAAGTAAGTTTTTGAAGTACGGTAGTTAACACGATTACTCCGTAGCTCGTTTATGAGCGATAAACCTACCAGAAAGCACCGTGGAGCTTGAATGATAAGCACTCCTGTCCCCTTTTTTTCTCGTCTAAACCACTCACTTTCAGGTCTCCATTCGGAGACCTACGGCCTGTGCAAAGTAGTGGTCGAGAGCGTACGAGGAAAACAGCTGGCGTTACTGTAAGTATCTATTTTGAGATTCAAGAAGTGGAAAGTTTGAAAAGAATATGTTTATGCTCTGGGACCAGCATTCTAGCGTTACGTTAAATGGGTGGGGACATTGCGTTACCAACTTGTAAATGGGCACATGTAGTTCACTGCATCCCTACACGCACAGTATCTTAAAAACGCTTTAATTTGTACCAGATTTGGGATTTTTCGTGTGCTTATCCAATATGCTAGGAATTTTGATCTGAAAGAGAGGGAGCCATGTCAAAGAAAACATATTTGAGGGCGGTGGTGAGGTGGGGTTGGATGACGAGGGACAATCTTTCTGCTAGTGAAAGGAGTTAGAGTTGAACCAGTCTGGGTTCCCCATTATGCCCTTGATCCTGTTTAGAAAGTTACTATCACGGTTTTTTTTCCCTACGAAGAAGGGTTTATTCTGGCCAGACTGGCGACGAAAGTATAAAACCTCAATGAAAGTGCTCACATCTGATGAAAACATTTGAATTATGCTCATATCTGATGAAAACATTTGAATTAATCTAAAATTTAGCCCCATAATTCCAGAACATGCTGGAGCGACAAGCTCCATCCCAAATAGAACCTCGACCGGAAAATCGAGAAATTCACAGGAAAGCTGTGGCTCTAGAGGAGCTCTGTGCAAGGTATGCTCGGTAATATTTCGAATGGCTACGTGCCTAACTTACGTAGAAGACCCGAATACTTACAGGTTCGTGCCAACAGTCCGAAAACACTGCTATGATAAGAAAACAGCCAAGGAGTATGTGAAACGTTGCGCTGCATACTTCCATGTAGGTTCCATAACTGTTATTCTGAAATTGAATCGTCTTTAATAGATCTTTACTGTGTTCTGGTCAGCAGATAAGGCACGAAAAGGATTTGTGTGAAAAGGAGAAAGAGCAGAGAGTCCAAATAGGATCGAATAAGTCTTATCATCTTATCTTTGGGATTCCAGGATTGCCAAAGTTTCCTGCCCAAATCCGATCCCCTCTACAATATTGCCAATGCGTTCAACTCGAACGTGGGTCTCAATCTTGGTACCGTTGAAGTGAACGGTATCCCTTACTATCCCATCAATGAGGAAGGTTTGTCTGATTTCAGCCAGCTGATTGACTTTTACAGAAAGGGCTTCCACAACTTAGCAAATTACTTCTTTGTAACTTCAGGATCAATCGGCGTGGGACGAGTTGCAAATGTTCCGTTTGGGTCATGGGGAGGCGGTTACTCCGAGAACCTTGGAGTGAGGTACATCAAGTTCAATGTCGTAATCTTTAGGAAAAACCTTCCAGTAGATCTTGTTGGTCCCTACTGGGAAAAGCTGACTCATGATGGAGCCTACACTACTAGTCATCATGAGTGAGCCATCAGCCACTACCATAAAACTAAAATTCGAGATTCCGTGAAGATGCGTACATTATGGAAAGAGTCTTTGACTAATACTATTTGGAGAGGTGCTGTATACGGATAAGCAACGTTCATGAATGTGAATTTAGCGTGAAAGCAGCTAAGTGTCCTCTCTGGGAACTTCTGTCCAAACTTTTATCCGTGGAAGAGTAACCACCAGAAATACCCACTTTCATCCACATTTCGAATACTATCTAAATTTCCGTTACCTTTCTAGGGACTACTGGTCACAAACGATGGAAGTTGGTGCTAATTGGTATGAAGGAAAATATGGGTATAAATCCGGATGGAGTGTTCCTTTGGTGCAGTCCCTTGGAATCGAAGGTGACACACATGCACTGGTGAGTCTTGCAGACTTATCGGCTGCAGCAGGGAACTAACTGTTTCCTCCTACTGACACCTATCACTTGCACGCAGCACTTCTCGTTTTTTGGATCCTTTACCTTACCATGACCAGTGATTCATCAGCAATCAGTTAAGACGCCCTGAGATATTACTGATGAAAATGATTATCGATATTCCCGCTGTCGGCAGCGACAAAGTATGAATAGATCTTGACGAAGCTCTGTCGTTCATTAGTCTGACTGATCACTTTCAGGTCTCGGTGCCCACCAAACAAGGAGAGCTCGGTAAACCGATAGGAGTAGATGTTGGTTTAGGTGTAGGGCCATACTATCAGCAGAACCAACACGTCGGAGTCGATTACTTAAACGGAAAGGTGACCACAACTCATCCATAACTTTTGATTTCCTTCAAACTCATCATTTGCAGGTCGGAACGAATTTTGGCGTTGGCGTCCCGTTTGCTGGTGTTGGTGTTAACACAGGGCTTGGAATATCATTCCCTTCAGTTAACGATGTTGTAGGATAACATATACGGATTTAACAGCTTTGCAATCCTTCTGCTTACGAACATCATCTCTCAATGTATATCACAAAATTGATAATCAACTGTTTTATTGTTACCGCTAATAAACTTTAAAATGCATAAATGCCGACTAGGTACCTAGGTACATAGGCAGAAAGCGGATAAGCTTTTCAACGGCTTTGTTGGGTCTCGATTACTGTAAGTTATTCTCTATGACAGCTATTTAGTAAAGATCAGATACAGTCAGTGACAAGCCCCTACTTCCTGATATGAAGCCGCTTTAGGCGGAACCCAAAGGAAAAGCTGACTCTCGGTCTGGGAGTGGAATCGACCCGTCACTTCTGACATAACGCGGTTCACGGGACAACGGATCATGGTGAATTCAAGATTGTCAGGAATAGAACCTAGTTGAATGAGTTTCAATAGAGAATGAAGAATGATGTCAGAGCATAAATTTCTGAAGCTCGAAGGAGCAAAATAGTCATTGAACAGATCTATGACAATGAGAATAACTGACTTCAAGATCTCATTGTCAGGATTGGCTTAACTAATGTAACCGAGGTAGGAAAAAAAGGAAAAGCAATTTGAATAACGAATTCCGGTTAGTTATTAAAAGTAAAGGCATGTTATAGAAAAGGACGAGGTGTTTCGATGAGCTGCAAATGAGCAATGAAGCTGCAACTGATCAATATCGCAATGTGACGTCATCCGCGTAGATCACCGACCCGGTAGATCAGGACCCCACCCACTCTAACGATCTGAAGTGAATTTTTTGAGGATTTTGATATTTAGACTAATCTCCCACATGTGTAAATTGTTTGAATATGTATTTGTCTTCTACTATGCTTCTAAGTAGTCAAGCTAGCAATTTTTACAGTACCGGTTATTCAGTTACTAGCTGTAGATCTGTTTGGCACAGTAGCTGCTGGGTTTACACAAGACAACAATTGTACTGTTAAGTTTTAATAGGTTGTCCAATTAGAGCTTTTAGGAAGGAAAAATTGTAAAGGCAGAAAAGAAAAAGGCCAGCTCCTTTTGGAATGAACACGCCAAAGCTGTTACTTTGTCGAAATTTCACTGGTAAAACCAAGAAAATAAGTACACTAGACATTGCAAACTCATACGAGGGATGCCTTTTATATTTCGGGATTTGGAAACACTAGTGTAGCAATCTAGCAACTGACACCACTATCGTAAAGTTTGACTATTTTGAGGTTCCGTTGCAAAATTTGAGCGCGATTTATGTTGTTAACACTAAGTTATAAGATTTTGTTTCGGCCAAGTCATGGAGTTGAACTGTGGGCATTTTCGCGCGACAACTTTCGACGTGGACTAACTCAACAGCAATGCATGGATGAACTTGGTTCAATTTTTGGGGACGAAGCTCCATCCAGGGCCAGTG